TATATATATATATATATATATATATATATATATATATATATATAAAATTCTTTATATTCCTTGTATATGTATTGAAGATAATCTTTAATTATGCAACCACCATAGCCTAATTGCATATAATTTTGAATAGGTATGTTTCAGGAATATGTCCCTTCACAGAAATGTTATAATAACAAAATGATACATTTAAATAATTTTATGTCTCCTTTTATATGTTGCAACTTACAGCCATTAAAACAGGGATGGAATATTGATCAGGGGTTGTGCAAAGACAATGGACTTTTAAAATACTTTCCAGACTGTAAGTTGATGTCCTTTTAGGACTTTTTCCAGAACTGGAGCTTTCTAGAACATTCTAGACCCCCCGTGCAGTATCTTCCTATAAAACCCCTTGTTCCCACACAAAGCTATCTTGTACCGATTGGTCAAAGATGAGCAAAGGGGAGATGTGATAGTATTTATCCTTTTTTGTTACTTTGTCTATGCATACTATTTAACAAGCATTTATTTATTTGTGAATTTATTTTATATTATGCCAGATTTGATAATAAATACAATACAAATTCAGGAGTCTGACACATGCACAAACAGGCATAACAATGGCATAAAATGTGTGTTTCATTGAGATGGATGGGATGACCTAAAAAATATAGGTTGCATCCTCATACATTTTGGTTCTGTACCTGTGTCAAAGTTGAGGACACGTGCCGCCTCACCCTCCACAATGACAGCAACGTTTTCCCCCTCTATGTAGGCTGCACTGATGCGCCTGTGTGACAGCTGTATCTCAAAGAGCCGCCGGCTGCACTGCATGTGGTGGAGCGTCATGTCGCTGAGACGAGGTTCAATGTCTGTCTTGTAGGCATTGAAGGATTCATAAAAAATATTCTTCATGATCTGACCAACAAAAAAAAGGTTATAGTAAAATATGGTTAAACCTGTCATACACATTTGAATTTATATGTGATGACTACAAAGCAGAACCAGCCCAAAAGTGTACAAGGCCCCAAGCAGAATCTTACTTAACCAAATTACCACACAAACCCCTCTTTTATATTATCTACCGGTATATTATTATTTATATTCTTTATTATCAGGAAGTCCACAAACTGTAGTTCCCTGCCTTCAGCTGATCCAAAATGCTGTAGCCAGAGTTCTGATGAAAATTAAAAAGAGAGACCACATCTCTCTTTTTAATTTGGCTTCTCTTCATTGGCTTCCTGTTAAATCCAGAATAGAATTTAAAATCCTCCTTCTCACATATATTAACATTAAAGTTCCTTGAGATAACATGTGTTGTGAATTGGCGCTATAGAAATAAACTGAACTGAATTATATTGACAATGCTTTGTGTGTTTATTACCTCAGGGGTAAAGCCAGGAGTGATTGATGAAAATACAATTGCATAGTCTTATTTCAAGTGCATTTTATCTAATTATCTTATTCTAAGAGTAAAACTACTCATTCCATTGGTAAATAGTCCTATTTACCTACTAAAATTAAGGGTAAATTGATTTAAGACATTTTTACTCATTTAGATCTTGGAGGGTGATGCTAACCAGCACAGAGTGGCATGGGCGAGTTCTGCCCTCTCATAAAAAGGTAATTTCAGGCATTTGATGGTGTTTTATTATTTATTATTCTATGAAACATTAAACTTACATAATGCTTTTGTGTTGTGTGTTTAAAACAAGCACATTTATTTTTTATTTATTTATTTTTTTTTTTTACAATTTTAAGGAATCTTTTTCTCCCAATACCAACTGGGATCTTTTTTGTGGAATTCCAAAGATGAAAGTATAATTTAAAAAGCTCTATCACATTTCAGACTGTGTCTGTCAGTATTTAAGGTGAAATTCTTTAAAAATCACAGAACCTCAACAAAATGGCACATTTGCATGTTTGTAAATTTGTATGATAGAAATTAGCCTAAAATAACAATATAAAGTCATATTTATTGATTGGAAAGACAAGTTGTTTGCAACAAATAAATCTAAATCTGTAACATATGAAAAGATGATAGGAAATTTTCCAAAGAAAAATATACAAAAGCAAGTTTGCCTATCAATAAAAAAAGTATTTCAGGGATTTGAAAAAAATTTAACAAATGAGCATACCAAATATTTACTAAATGTATTTTCTTTTATTCATGTATTTCATTCTTATTATTTTTCTACAGTACTTTAAGTTCAAATATATACTGAGATGCTTTAGTTGGAAAAAAACAACAATAAGAGGAAGAAAACAATCTGAGTGGTCTGTGTTGCATTAATAAGTTGTTTTTTTTTTTTAAAAAAACCTTCCCAGCCAGCCTTTGTGTTTATCTCTTACCTATCTTTATCTTAGTATTTAAAATAGTTTGTTTGTACCAGTTTCTACAAAAATCTCAAAATAAACTTGCTGCAAATTCCATTTCAAAGATGTTTTTTACTGATTATCACACCAGTAAATTAAGTGGTGTAATATTATGAGAAAACGTGTAAAATTATTACTCATCTGCTTTTTTTCTGAAGTAAAAGCCTTTATTCTCTTGGCATCTTGGTTCTCATCATCATCAAACAGCCAAACCTCTTGCAGTTTAAGCAGTACTAAGACTTACTGCTAAACGGTTGATGGTGAGCAGGTAATCTGGTCACTCACCCTCATTTCTGCTTTTCTTTCTGAAGAAGAAAACTAAATATGAGCACTAACAACTGGCATTAAGAATAGATTCCACATCATCTGTAGAGTTTTGATTGAAAACTCTCTCCTCTTTATTTTCACTCTATTCAACTCGGCTCTTCTTCGACCCATACTTACAAAGCCAACTGTTACCAAGTAACAGTGCATTTGAATGGCCACCCACATAGCAACAAGAGCTCCGCAGTCAGTCTTGTAACTTACCTGTGTGAACCACAAATGCTCTGTGAGCCATGGCTGCAGGCTATGCACAATCCGAGGCACTTGACTTGAAAATCAAGTGACTGCAGATAAAAGCCCCACAGCAAACTAGAAGTATCAACTCTGGAGGTATGTTACTGAGCAGTGAAAGAAAACATAATAGACCCCTGCTTGTATTCATCCATGCAAAGCAGCAGGTTGAAGACGGCCCTTTTACATAGAGAGAAACATCTTAGGTATTCTTCTGTTCTTATTCATATATATGCAGGTTTTTGTGGTTCCTGAAATACATATTTTAGTATTTCTACAGGCCTAAATTCAAACAGAACTTAAGCTCAAAGTTACCTGAACCTTGATTGAAACACATGATAAAAAAAAAAACATAAGTGAAATAGGGACCATTTTGTAAATTCAATCTCTTAAATGAGGTCTTAAATCATTTAGAAGAGCAGAAGTCTTACAGAGGAGTTTGTAGTGTGTCGTAGGTATCGAACCATTTTGTTGTCAGAGGTGGGACAGGCCAGAGCCATGTAGCGGTTTCTGAAGGTACCGTATATCTTTAGGTGGAAACCAGACTTGGCTGCAGAGTTTCTCTGCTCTCTGAGGGCCTCCACTCCATAAGCAGACAGGTCAAAGTAGAGGCTGTGTGCACGAATCTCAGGCGTGGGCACCTGAGGGTAGTGATACAGGTTATAAATTAATATCATTCACATCCTATATTTCCAGCCCATAAACTGCATACCGAGCAAGACAGATACATGTGAAAATCATCACCTCTGTCTTCAGGCCTCCTGTCACTTTAGAGGAGATTAAAAATAGCTCAATTGTTATTCAGTAGATGAACCTTGTAGCTACCCATCATTTTCTCTCAAGAGAAAATTGATCAATTTTCTTTTTAGTGACATAAAACAGCAGGGAAGCATAAAATAGCTTTTAAAGCAGCAAGCAGAGACAGAGCGTGAGGAGAGAGAGACTGGTTGGCAATTGGGAATTGGACAGTAAGGAGTACCAGGTCATATCCTGCGAGGACAATTCAATCACTACAGGAAACAGCCAGAGAGAACAGTGGCCAATAAAAGGCAGCCACACAGCCACTAAAGGGGACGTGATATGAATGGTTATGGTTACATGAAAACAACAAGCCTTGTGCTTGTGCCTATGTGTTGGTCAGATTTAAGCCTGGAGCTTTTTACCTTAACCTGTTTATGTTTTTTAATTAAAACAACTATCCTCTCCTGCTGTCACTACATATGATCTATTTTTATCCCTAATATTAAAAAAGGCTTTCATTTACATTATTCAACTGATATGAATCACACAGTTATCAGGGATGAATAAAGTATTGCTTAATCTCCACAGACATGAGGTTTGGTTGCTGGACTGTCTTAGCCATAATTAATAACAGCCACAAATTTGAGAATTTCTGTGATGGACCAACATAAAGTAAGGAGCTGTTCCAAAGTGGAAGAAAAATAATGCAGGGATTTATCCATTTTAACAACTGAATAACCTATAAGTACTGCCTCTCTAACTGGCTAGTTAGTATTCTGATAAATTGAAATAAAACCAGCTGTAAATAAATACTATCAACAAGCAAAGTTGCCTACATAACTGTGTAAACTCTGAAGAAGCTGTAGAGATTCAAAGCTCAGGTGGAACAATGGGACAAGTCTAGCACTTCACAAATCATCTGTGTCTTTTATTTAGAGGGGTAAAGAACAACAGTTCATACTTTGTACCTACATACAAAACACTTCCTGAAAACATCACTCACATGGTGCAACATGGTGGTTGCAGCCTCAAACAGTGGGAATGCTTTCTTCAGCATGGACAAAGACCAGATTTTAGACTTCAGACTATGATATATGTTTACCTTCTAACAAACAAACATTCAGCTAGAACTACAATGGAATTTGGCCACGCAGCAAGATAGTTGATAGATTTATTTGGATTACATAACAACTTTACACCAAAAGATTTAACTTTCTTACAGTGAAAAATGTGAGGTAGAACTCAAAACATTAACCTTTTAATAGCTTCACTTTTTGGGATGTAAAGTAGCTCCCATAGCTGAGAATAAATAATATGGTCTTCCCTATTTTCTTTCAATCAATTTGCTCAGTGGATGCCTTTTTATGTTTGGTTTAGTTTGGTTGTTGTTTTTCTAGTCCTCAAAAAAACAAAACAGTTAAACATGTACATACACAGAGGCTCTCAGTCTATTGTGACTGAGCTTGATGTACTTTGTAAAAGAAAATAGCTAAAGATGTTTCCGGATGTATTTTGAAGCATTACAAATGCATGCAGGTTTCCACTTACAGTTGGATAGGTTATTTTCTTATTTTCTTCTTTGTAACAAGGCACAATTTGTACACAAACAAGAATATGATAATTATTGCCTGAGAAGTTGTTTTTGTCCTTTGAGCTGCTACCACATTCAGGGTTGCCACAGCATGTCATTACAACCTGCTCAGACCTGGCAAAGTTTTTATGCAAGATGCTTTCCCTGATGCAACTAGGACAGACCTAAATTACTTAACACTAATTATTGATTTAGAGCGCATCCAAAAAATTTATTTTGAATATGCATCTCATCTTATCTTTCTCATTATTATTATTTTTTTTAGATTTTTACAGCTTACAATAATCTCTCTTTTATTTTGAAAGTATTTTTGACTTTATATTCTGCATTCCTTTTTTTTCAAAGACAGTACCTATTTTTTTACACTATCTTTTAATATTAATAATATAATAAATGAATTAATAATAGCTTTATCGATGATGAGTTTCAACATTTACACGGATTTGTAAAAACTGACACATCTACATCAAGCCTGATGATCTGTAGTGAGCACCAAAGCATGGATGAATTGACGAATATCAACATAAAATAAAAAGTCAAAGGGTTGTTTCTGACCTGTCGCTGATCTAATCTCTCTATGGTAGCATTAGCTCCATATCCATGGCAGGACTCCACAATGTAGTCAGAGCTGATTCCTAAAACGGAGCAGGAGTCTCCACACGACCCATCAGCCACCACGATTACTCGAGGCCAGTCATTATGTGGAATTCGCTGCAGGAATTCTTCTGTGAACTAAAACATAAAAGGTAATTAGTTTATTAAAAGCTACGAAAGCATAATTTCCCCCCTTAAAGATGTAATCTCATTTTGCTCTTTTTCACATTTATGTATTTAAAATTATCAGCCGTATTCTAATATTAGAAAAAGATCATTTGGAACCCAACCAAACAAAAATTACCATTCTGAAATGATAATTTCATCCATCAAATGAAAAAAAAAAGAAGAAAAAAGTTATCCAAACAAAACTGGCTTATTGTCAAGCGTACAGTCAGTGGACAGTCACCTTTCAGTGTTGGTGACCTTAAGGCAGATCCTTATACCAAGCATGGATGTAGCACTAGTGAAAAAGTAAACTCCACTTTAACAAGAATAAAAAACTTCACCAAAACCTGGCTTCGTCTGAGTTGTATCTTTCTATGACTGATTAGGGAGTTAAGAATGCAGAGTGCACACAAAAAAATAACAAAGAAGGACTGAGTGCTCTCTATGTAAAAGAACAGTAAAAGCTTTTTTAGGTCTGTCAGGTGAAAAAAAAGCACTTAGAGCTAGTTAAAAACTCAGCCTATAGAGAGAGGGTTAAACAGTTACAGACAGCGCTAAGAGTGATCTGTAGAAAGAAATGAAGGATGTTGTTGGCAGCATGGCTAAGCAGTCTCTCTACAGCCCTAATATAACTACCGTGAAAAGCAGAAAAGAAAGAGAACATAAGATAAAGAGTTGAAAAAATGCTAATAAAATAAAATTGTAGAGCAGTGATGTACCAGACAGAGAGAAAGTGACCGGTGTGTCTTCCAGAAGCCAAAGCATATAAATAGCTCGTTTAGACAACTTAAATAAATAAAAAGTTAAGTTTTAAGGCCGGTTCTTAGAGTAGACTAGGTGTCCACCTCACGGACTTAAGCTTTAAAGGATATGGCTCTGAATTAAAACAAGAAACAGGGGAAATTAAAAATACAATAGATTCTTAAGAAGTTGATTTTGATAAGGCTCAACAGAAATTACATTTTCTTTATAGGATTTGAGTACTTAGATAAATGAAACTTAAATGATTATGAGTAAAAACATTTTTTAACAAACTCAAAGCCATATATCAAATCACAGTCTAGTGTATGAAGACAAAAATGTGTAGGTCTGTAGCTGTTTTGAGAAAAGTTTAACACATTTTATGGGCAACATTTAGGCATTCACTTTCAGTGTCTATAATATTGCTCAAATTTGCCACTGATCCATACTTAACATAAATAATTTAAGTCTGAGAAGTGATCTACAGATTTAGAGCAAAGACCTGGTGGATGGTACAAGACAACAAACAGAAGTAATTTTAATATTTTTTATTGAAATGATAAAAAAAAAAAATGTTAGCTATTCAAAAAATGTTTCATCTATTTATTGACCTGGATTATATCGGCAGATTAATAAAGAAATGGTTACTACTCATCCTACCCTTTATTTAAAAAAAAACATTTGAATTATTGCAAGGAGTTAAAATAATTATAACATAATCTACTGCTTAAAGCCAGGTTTCTGTGAGACAAAATAAAGCAGTCTCATTAAAGAAAGAAAAGTCATCAACCAACAAAGTATTTAAAGAGGGAACTCATGTTCAACATACACCAGATAAAGAGCGTCATACCATTAGTCAAACATGGTGATGGATGATTGTTTAGTGCTGCTTTGTTGTTTTAGAAGGTGAGTGACTTGCTGTAACTGATAGAGCTTTGAATTGTTCTCTCCGGAGGTAAACTCTGAAAGTTAATGTTTGTCTTTTTTGTTTTAACCTTTAACCTTAAACTCAATGGTACTTTAATTATTCAGGAGGCAAAGAACACCATCAAAGTACCGACTGAATGGCTTTAAAAAAAATTTTTGGGGTGGCCTAGCTTACCTCACAAGCAAGATGAATTGTCGCAAGACTTGTGAATTCACAAACTCAGGAAACTTACCTCAGATAAATACTGTTTATATTTAAAAACTACACGTACAGTATCATCTGGTTTATGTCAGGTTATGGCCTAGCCAATCTCTGGACAATTATCTGACAGAGATACTGATCTTAAACATGCATCTAATACTTTTCTTTTAAATCCAGTGTTGTTTACTTAAAAAAAGGAGAAAAATTGGCAATATTTTCATACAAGAATATAAGACAAAAGTAAACATAAAGGCTTGATTGCCATTGTTACCTCTGAGGGTGGAAAATACTGTTATTAGCTTTAGGGGACAATTACATTATATATAAAATAATAAGTTGAAAACTGATTTTTTTATTTACTTCGTTTGTTTTACCAAAATTTGTTTGATAATAATTAACATTTCACTGTGACAAAGAAGACAAAATATGATTAAAAAGAACTAGTAATCCCAAGGTGCTAGATGATATCAGCTGTCTGTGGATAAAAGAAACCACACTGAGAAAAATTAGATTATACATTAAGGCTAATTATGCCAAAATTACACATGAAGAACTACTATATTACTTACTAAATATATTATGTTATTTTCTTTTTTATTAATTACAGGTTGGATTTATACTTTGTCAGGTGTTTTGTTTACATTTTCCCTCCCTAAACCTTGTGTAACGGATATGACTTCTCTTCTTCCATTATCACTTTATCTGCAGGAGGAAAAAGGTGGATCTTAATTTAATATATCAGAGTAAGCTATTTATATGAGATATATTAGTTAAGCCTGTCCTAAAAACAGAACATCCTTCAGACAGAGAGATTTATTACTTTCTCTGGTAAATGTTCCTAACCATTCACAAGGTTCTTGCCTGTTTTAAGGAGCAAAAGAGGTGGCCGATTCAAGTTGGACTACAGCCAGGCAGGCTAGGAGAGAGAATAAAAAGGTTGTGGAGGGCCTTCAATAGCCTACATCGAAAGAGATCTATGTATAATCTATTTAAGACCACATTCTAGAGGTAATTTAAAAAGACCGCCCTTTGTACTCTTGGACCTTTGAAGAATTGGCTGGCTGAGAGGGTAAAAGTATCTGTCATCAAACGCACTGTCTCTTCTAATCAAAACAAACTTGCTATGTTGCAGTGGCTTTGAAAGAAGCACATAGCTGTGACCAAAAGCCCCACTGACCGTATCTTCTATCTTCCAAAGTTTAGACATCCCTGTCTTAAGCTCCATCTACTTTCCCATTAACTTTGAGCAGCTTTTCATTGAATAAGGCTGCCACATGGAGATTATGTGTTCAGAGTGAAGTGCAGGTTGATGTAGAGTTAGTTCTTCAGTAAACAAGGAGTTTTAGATGTTGGCCAAAAAGTTATATCTTAGTCTGGAACAGGTTAGTCTTTAACATGTCTGACATGACTTCCAAACTTTGAACAGAGCAATTGAGTTTTAAACCAAAGCTTTCTTCTTACCACTGTTGTGCCATATGCCATGATCATGGTTTTTGGACATTGGGGAACCAGTGTCCATATTTCATCTTGACAGGATGACCAGAGAAGAGGACCCAGATTTGGTGTATAACAGCTGGGAAACCTATTGACTAAAGGTTATTGGTTGTTGATTAAGCAAATCATTTTATAAAACATTATTTGGCCTAAATAATGTTTTATTCACCTCATGGATTTACATTGTGAAGTGGTCTGAAAACATTCCAATTTATCTAGATTAGTGAAAAGCTAATTTGATCATATTCCAAATTCTTCCAGATAAAATTTGGTTTTCAGACTAAAAATCCATCTTAAAGCTGAATGATTTTTGTTAATTAACTTTGTTAATTAACTCTTATATATTAAACAGAAGTTGTGGTGAATGTATTCCATGTATGTGCAGAATTAACTGTTTGACCATGATTAGTGCTCAAATCACTCTTTCATTTATTGATCTAACACACAGCTAGTAGGGCGTGTGTCATAAACAGTATATAACAGCCGAAATAATATCTGATTAAATAAGATATTTTCCACCCCTACCGGGGAGGGCAATAAACATCTTAAAGTATCAGAAATATAAATTCCCAGCTGGCTGGGAATTGAATTGAACTTAATATCCCAACATTAATTGGCGTCCTACCTGGATGGGCATTGATTTTAATATAACCATACCACTATATAACAAAGTCCTTATTTATGGAAAGCATGGCCAATATCTGTCCAACTCATTCAACCACCTGAGCAGCTCTGTAGCTCCTCCACAGCTACCATGCGACCATTGCTTTCCTGGTCTGGTCAGTCAGTATAGGTTAATGGACACGCTTTGTGGGTTGGTTTTCTTTAATGAACTCTGGGCTATGTTAAAAACATGTGTTATAATTTTGGAACAAATTATCTGGTGTTATTCTCATGTTGCAGCTTTTTAGGTTTTTCCAACAAACCTCTAAAATGTTTGTAGATTATCTGTTTTTTTTGTACTTGGATTGTCTTTCAAAGGACCAATCTGTAACAATTGGCAAACCTCGGAAGGCAATTAGTTGCACTTGATATATTTTAGGTATATCAGAATGAGATGGGCTAAATAGAAATTATCACCACTCTGATTTGAATTATTTGAAAACATCTCATTATTATATTTTGACTTCACAATTAAGCACCTTCTGCTGCTGATTGGTTGGTGAATAAATTTCAAAAACTTTTATTGTTTTAATTCTTTATGTTAAAAATCAAGAGATATGAATACTTTTATAGCCACAAGAGTGTAGTTTTTTTTTTTTAAAACCATAACAAAAAACAGTCACCATCAGTGTGTTAGTTTGTGCATGAATGGGTGAATGACTGTATGTAGTGTAAAGTGCTTTGGACAAGTCTCCTGACTTGAAAAAGCATTATATAAGTACAGGCAATTTTACCATTTATACTATATTGAAACCTGCTTCAGAGTAAACATGTTGTAAAATCAGGAGCCATAACAGAGAGGGCTATTTGGATTGGGTCTACACAAGGAAATAATCCTCTGCTGATAAATAAATCAATTGAAATCAAAATAGGATTATATCCACTGTTTTGATGCTGTAACATGTTAAGGTAGGGATTTGTTTACACTAATTCTGTCAGTCACTTGCAAGTGACCTAAAAACTGTTGGAAAGAGTTGCGTTTAGGTCAGTTTATATAACAAGCGACTTCAGTAGAATGGATTATTTCAGTTTAGGATTAGATTAAATTTGCTGGGGGACTTGTATGCAAGGAAAATATTTAGTCAGGTACTTATTTGTTCCATGTGAATTTATGAAATTGATAATTAGGATGAAAAAGTTTAAGTTGACAACTTGGAAGCAACTACAAAAGGAGTTTTTTAAAGGAAAATTTGCCATAGCAGTAGTGGGGTTTAAGCCAATATCAGCTCCAGATCCTGAATATACGATTCCAATTATAGTGAGAGCCCTTCACAAAGGAGAATCTCTGAAGTTTTGATACATCTAATTGGCCACCAACAGAGTAAACCCAGATTTCATTAGTTAATTTTTCCAACAGGTCGACTTTGGTGAGTATAACATATGCTAACACTCCTAAATCAAACGAACAAACATACTTGGCCACTAAAATTGATGGGAACAATTTATTTAGATTTCATTTGGGGGAGCTTTTCAATCAGTACATCTCTGCACTGACTGAACATGAAATTATGCACTTTTTCACAGTTTGAGATGCAATTATGATAATTTAGAAAATTGTAATTAATAATATACCTATTTTTTTTATAATAAATGTTGTTTGCACACAAAAATAATCATGACAAAACACTGAAGCAAACAAAACCCCAGAAAAATAAATAGACTCTAGATGTAGATGAACTAAGTTCAGCTGAATATAAATTGAAATTCTTACAGTAACAAAGAAACTCCCTTTGCTTTAAGCATTTTGGTAGTTTTGCAGGCTGATCCAACTTTATAACAATGGCATATTTTTATGACCAATATCCGCCTTAACATTTCCTTCCGACCTCCCCAGAGAATGAGTCACAGTAAACAACTTTGGTTATTTTTGTATTCTAATTAATTTTTTTTTTTATTTTGGACAAAAAAAAACTAATAGTCTAGTTGGAATTTTAAACATTAGTTAACATTATATCTAATAACTACAACTTATTTTAGTTACAATGAATTGTACAAAGACAAACTTTTAAAAAGAAAGTCACCTTAGTTCCCAGCTGTACTTTGACCTCCACCTTCTGCTTCTTCTGCTCCAGGATGCTTAGCAGATACTCCTGAAACACGCCTATTCTGGTGAAGAAGTGCTCATTGTGCCAACAGCCCTCCATGTTATCAAAGTCCACCCCGAGTCCCAGTAGAAACTTAACACTGCGAGGATCCAGGGCGATCTGCTGGGGCCGGCAGAGCAGCGCGGTCCGGTACCTCTCGTCCAGCACGGTCAGTTTCAGCACCTTCCCGGAGCGGACAGCGACCAGCGCCGCTGTCAGCCCCACGGGACCAGAGCCCACGACGAGCACCGAAATCCTGGCGCGCCATTGCCTGAACCCGTCCAAGCTGACTTTCACCACCACGTACAGGGCCACTACCACTAAAGTACTGAGAGCTGTGTCGAAGGCGAGAGCTCCGTACTTTTCCTCAGCGGTTTCTCCGATGCCACCAACTCCGCTGTTTTCAGACTGCAACCCATCCATACCGCGGAGAGGAAGGGATGGGTGCCAAGAGGATTCCAGGTATTTTTAGATGACTAACCAGTCGTCCACATTAAAGCATTCATTGCATTGCATGGAGATGACTTCGCACCCATTAACACGCTCCTCAAGCAGAGCGTCCTCTAGCTCCGCTCTGTGCAGCATGACCTCCTCAGTCTGCCTCCCTCTCTCTCTCTCTCTCTCTCTCTCCCTCCCAGGCAGGAAGGTTTGTGTCCAGGGAGAGTCAGCAGGGGGGAAAAAATCCCTTTTTTTCGTGACAGCGTCGCGACTTTAGGAAGAGAGTTTAAACCGTGACGTAGGCAGGATTTTTTCTCTGTTGAAAACTATTGATTTACTGTTCCTGAAGTAAGAGAAGAGAGGAAAACTAAGGAATTCCCTTCCTGTGGACCTGAAGTAAAAATGCCTTAAATGCCTTAAATACACATCAATGAGAAAATAGTGAATTGTTAAAAAAAAAAAAAAAAAACAATACAACATTTAATGTTAGTCATTTAGGTTAACATTTGCAGTTATGCAAAAACTCATAAGATCCAGTAGTATGGCTCAAGTCCTTTTAACCTCTTTTCAACATACTTTCAATGTTTTATCTTTAGTAGTTGAATGTAACTTTTTCTTGTTCTCATAATGTATAAGATTATGAAGACTGATGTTGTTTTAGTTATAATGACTCTTTTTTTAGGCCATCCAAAACCTTTTATTCTTTTTGAAATTTAAGTCATTCTTTTATAGATTTTTACATGCAGGCTTGGACTCACTGGTCATCTTTCCTTGTGTTAGTCTATAAATCACTGAATGGATCAGCACCTCAACAATAGTTTTTTTTTTAGCATATCAATCTTCCAGACCACTGAGGTTTTCTAGTTCAGGAACAAGAACCAAACGAGAAGCAGTATTTAGTTCCTATATTCCACTTATCTGGAACAAGCTTCCAGACTTTTACAGTCTGGAAGTCTTTTTAGAATTGCGTTCGACTGTTGAAGTCAAACTGTTAATTGAACTATTACTGAAGGTAGTGGTCCAGCAGTTTTGTTTGTTTTACAACCTGCTTTTATCATGCTTTCATCTTTATTTGCGTTTATTCTGCTTTCATTTTCTTGCGTATTCTGTCCTGTCCACCCCATACAATCAGTAAGAATCCAACTACTAGCATGGCCAAGACCAAAGAGCTGTCCAAAGACACTAGAGACAAAATTATACGCCTCCACAAGGCTGGAAAGGGCTACAGGGAAATTGCCAAGCAGCTTGGTGAAAATGTTCCACTGTCAAATATGACTGTCAATCTCCCTCTGACTGAGGCTCAATGCAAGATCTTACCTCGTGGGGTCCCAATGACCTGAAGAAGAAAGGTGAAAACTCAGCCCGGAACTACATGGGAGGAGCATGTCAATGACCTGAAAAGAGCTGGGACCACCGTTTCTAAGGTTACTTTTGTAAGGAGTCATGGGAGAAAGTCATGTGGTCAGATGAAACCAAAATAGATCTTTTTGGTCATAATTCCACTAACCGTGCTTAGAGAAAGAAGACTGATGAGTACCATCCCAAGAACATCATCCCTACTGTAAAGCATGGGGGTGGTAGCATCATGCTTTGGGAGTGTTTTTCTGCACATAGGAAAGGGTAACTGCACTGTATTAAGGAGAGGGGATTTTTGGGGAACAACCACCTTCCCTCAGTGGGAGCATTGAAGATAGGTCAAGGCTGGGTTTTCCAACATGACAGTGACCTGCAGCACACAGCCAGGATATCTTAGGAGTGGCTCTGGAAGAAGCATATCAAGGTTCTGGCGTGGCCTAGACAGCCTCCAGAGCTAAACCCAATAGAGAATCTTTGAAGGGGGCTCAAACTCTGTGTTTCTCAGAGACAGCCAAGAAATCTGACTGATCTATAGAAGATCTGTGTGGAGGAGTGGGCCAATATCCCTCCATGCTGTGAGTGCAAACCTTTGCAAACAAAGGCAA